AAATATGGTGGTGGTGGTGGTTCAACTGGAACTTATCTTCCGGCCTCATGTATTCCTCCCGACCCGTTGTCCACACCGATTCCCTCGGACAATTACTGCTTCGAATTGGCCCCTTTTTCTCAGATTATTGGTGAACATGATCATGGAACGTTTGATCAGCATCCACAGTGGACGTCCGCGGACAGTGAGACAGTGCGCAACTGCTGGACACCGATCGTGGCCGCTTCTGCTCCAATAGACAACTCGCAGTTGTCCCTTTCGGTCAATGTGAATGTTCCGTCCAACAGAGTAGTAGCCAAGCCGAACTCCGAGCGGTAAGTTTAATACACTTCTCTGGTCGTTACTTCTGTATTTGCAGGTGATACACTCCCACCCTCCATTTCTGTCTGCTCATGCTATCCTCCAACCAGCAACATCACATCATGTAAATATATGTATATTATTCATTCAAAGCTGTTGAATAAAACAGTAGATCTCTCCACACCACTAAGGAATAGCGATTTTGTATACCGTTGGCTGTATTCTTGACATCGATTACTGTACCTTCTGATTAATTTCTTTAGGTTCTTATGAACACTTACCGTACTTTCCATGTGGATTTGTTTTCCATACTATGTCTACGTGATTTGCACTTTTGGTCTCTGTGATCTTGCTTACGACGGCAGTATGATATAAACTGCACTTCCTTTTCAGCGTGCTCAGTTTGCAAGAAAAACAGCGTGCTACTTTAACTCGGTGTTATCCTTCCGCCTTTATTTTACTCACTCTGGCACAAAGCATATTCTGACTTATTTTTTGATCATACGAGACAATTTGACTACTGTGTTTTCCATCCACAGTCCCAAACAATCCTATGGGGTTCCGGGTCGGCATCCCAACCGAAAAACTGGTACCACAAACTGCGAATCCAGAGTTCGTCGCCTGGCCGTAACCCAATCCCCGACTGTCACACAGCACCACACTGCACCGTTAGTCCCGGCTGCGTCGACCAACGGGGTTACACCTGACCCGTCGATCAACGGTGCGACACCTGGTCCCTCGACCTTTTCCCCAGCTCTGTGTGTGATCTGTGGGGACACGGCCAGTGGAAGACATTACGGTGTTATCTCTTGCGAGGGTTGTAAAGGGTTTTTCAAACGATCCGTGCGCAAACAGTTGCAGTTCACCTGTCGCGGTTCCGGTCACTGCCCGGTCGATCGGAGCAAACGTACGCGCTGTCAGCATTGTCGATTGGAACAGTGCTTGTCCAAGGGAATGAGACGTGAAGGTACGACACATATACATGCACACAAAGCAAACAAACAAGCATCAGCTCGATACATTCTCCACCCCCTCCCGTATTATTCATAATTCGTTAACAGCTGCGTATTTTCTCGTCCAAAAAGCAAATGGATTGACTACTTTTCCTTTAATTAATTACTCTAAACGTAAGTATCATCTTCGTGCAGTATGTAGTTTCTGAATTTTTTTCAAGCACTTTAGTCCGTTAAAATGCTTAACGCGTCAGAAGAACGTGAAGGACATTGGTTTTTTGGTCCATTGCGTAATGATAACTTCTTGTGTCCTGTTAAAAACGTAATGATACGATTTTCATGAGGATTACTGCAGCGAAGAATCATTCGATGCGTAAATGTACCCTTCTACCCGCGATGATAGTCGGAACCGTTCACTGTTTAGTATGTGTGACTACAATTTTAGGATAAGCGTACCAAACAAGCTTCCTTTGGATTCTCACAGACAAACTAGAATAAAAAGTTGGACAACCTTCAGAAAGTGGGTTAACTGTACACCCACGGGAATACTGTCCCCCCAACAGCTACCGTTCAGTTGCAATAATTAGAGACGAAGTGTGAACAAAACCGGAATAAATTTTGAAGCTTCTGAGATTGCCGTGATCAAATACAATTACACTGGTTAATGCTGTCATTGTGAACTGGGACGGTTAGTCGAACTAAACGGAATAAATAAAGTTAAATTTGTCTTACCTGCATTGTATTTCTAGTTGTTCCGGTTTCGACCTGGTTGGGGCTCATCTGCCGTGCGCGAATCCATCNNNNACCCAATAGAGGGGATTGAACCCGGGATCTCACAAATAGAACGCAAGCATACTAACCACTCTGTCACCGGGTAGCTGATCAAACCGTTTCTCATTTCGAATATACACGACATAGCACAATCCATCTATGCAAGCTTGTCGCGAGTATCAATCCTCGATCCTCCGTTACTCTCACGCAACAAATAATCAGATTGTGAAAGATTTCAACCGAGTCATAACCTCCCGGAGGTCAGTGCTGAGATGAGCGAGGACCGATATTCGCAACAAGCTCATAATGATGGGTTATACTGTAGAGTGTATGTTCAAATTAGCGGCGGTCTCATCAGCTGCCCGGTTGCCGAGTGGTCAATACGCTCACGTTCTATCTATGAGGTCCCGGGTTCAATCCCCACTTGGGTCGATGGATTCGCGCACAGAAGATGAACCCCACACAGATCGAAACAGTTGTCCAGTTCTTCGGTTTTTACTCTTCCCGGTTATCATAACAACCGGGGCTGGTAGATTCAATTTCCTTTAGTGGCCCACTGTGACACGGGATCATTTGTCAGTTCTATCTTCTCTCCAGATGCATAAGGCTTCTTATATTGATTTTACTCACCCCGAACTAACATGTGTTGTTTTCTTGTGCAAGAGCTGTTATTTTCGCTATGCGACTGCTTCTAGTCCCGAT